TGTGTGTGTGTGTGTGTGTGTGTGTGTGTGTGTGTGTGTGTGTGTGTGTGTGTATGTGTGCATGGGGAAGAGTGTCTTCACATTTTTTTAATTTAAGCTCAAGAAAACATCAGCCCTTTTCATAGGCCGGATTTGCCTGTTGTTTGATTTCTTGGTCTGCAATCAAATGCAAAAGAAAGAAAATCTCACCTAACACATTTACAAAATGATTGGAGGTTAAAAGTTAATCTGACTATAACTGAATACAGCCTAGTATAAACAAAGACCTCAGTTTCCCTTCAGGCTGTCCTCAACATCCTTAAAAGATTCTGCCATCTGGTGGCCAAATGAAACAAAGTCTGGGTCTTCAAATGCCTTTGTCATAGCAGAAGCCCTTTGGTTATTTCAGTGAAAATTTCCTCTACTGTACTAAGATATTTTAATAAGCTCTTGTCTGGTTACTAATTCATCCTGTTTTGACAGAGTGAATCGAGTCTATAACCTTAAACGTTCTTTTTGTCTATATGCATTTAGACTCAAGCGGCCAGCCTTTCTGTGTCCAGTGCAAGCCAGAGTACCAGGGTCCCAACTGTGAGCAGTGTAGTGATGGCTTCTACAATGCCGACAGCATCTGCCTTCCCTGTAACTGCAGCGGGAACGGAGACCCCCACATATCCCCTCAGATCTGTCACCCGGACACAGGCCACTGCCTGAGCTGCATCAACAACACTACGGGGCTGCACTGCGAGCGCTGCGCAGAGGGCTTTACAGGGGACGCACTAGCCAGGAACTGCACTCCTACAGGTGAGAGCCTGCAGTAGTAAAACCTCTAGTGATTTTTGGCTGCAGTTGGGTAAATTAGGGCTGTGCCCATAGGCGGAGGGTAAACCAACTCCAGGGTAAAGCTAAAAGCAGCCAAATGTATTAAACATCGTAAACCCGTCTTTTTAGGCAAGGACCAGACATGGGTGTCATGTAGGCTAAAAAAAATGTTTAATGGGACTGAGTTTGTATTTAACGTGATTACAATTTAATAAAAATGTTAGAAATTGATAATTATATAACGTTTTCTTTCCACGGTTATTCAAATAGTGAATAAATTATATATAGAAAGTGACATTATCACTAACACTGATCTATCGCGAGTTTAAGCACTCTCAAAAAAACAAAACTATCGTTATAATCACTGAAACTGTATGCACTGTGAAATGAATCTCTTACTTACATTGTACGTCCATCTGTGCTTTGTTGTTTATGATGAGAGAATTCGCAAGAGTACGGAATTCAGTCAGCGAACGTGCGCACACTTAACAAAACTGATCTGTTTCAACGATGACTCATCTGAATGCCTCTGATTGGCCATTGCATTCCTAAGCTCAACAGAATTGTGTGTGATTGGTTAAAAACGCCTAAAATGAAATACTGTGCGTGCAACATGAGCAGAACTTAATTTAATGCCACAATCGACACTGTCTATTCATATTCACTTTGTTAGCAACAGACGTAATAGATTAAATTTGTTTGTGCAGGGGCATTTTTGTCCAATTTAGTGGCATTTTTGCCCCAAGTCCCAGTGGCCAGGGGAAGGCTAAGCCTTACACACGCTCCGCCTATGGCTGTGCCGATACAATCAATTATTGATATATTTATTTTTTGTTCACATTATTGCATCTGTATTTCACATTCTTTTTTATTATGCTCATTCATGCCATTTTCAACAGTTCAATTAAAGCTGTAACTCTGAAACCATCATTTGTCTTTGCAGTTAGAGCTGCTTCAGTACTAATGAAAAGTGAAGAGAATCAGTTGAGAGAGGTTGAAACTGATCCCACAGGTTAACTTTTTCTCGTGGACACCCTGAATCACTTTCTCATGCATTTGGTGTAGTTTCAGTTGTGATTTACTTGTATTGCAACATATTAAATGCATCACATTGATCTTATCCAACCCTACAGGATAGATTGTGTGAACAGGAAGGACCTGAACTTTTTATATTAATATATTTAAGCAACTATTTTAAGAGGTGACTGAAAAGTGCTTGCGTGTTTTGTGGCTGTGGTTTTCAGAGAGAGGAAGAGAGGGTGTGTTGTAGAATGACTAATCCCAGATCAGTGTTCTGACTCACAACATCCGTCTGTACAATGCTGATTTTATCAGTGGCGTACTGTAAAGAGGACAGATCATACATTCCCACAGGCAGGCTGATTCGGGTTGCCAAACAGTGAGCTTGGACCCCAGGGTGAATATATGAAAGCGAGAGGAAGAAGAAAAGAGTGATTTATCACTCCAGTAAGTCAGCCAAATCCACACTCTCTTTTCGTCAATCTTTCCACTCAGCCAACAATAATAAATTGTTCTTTTCCCTTTCGGCCTGTCTGAGCTCTGCTCCAGCCATGTTGCCGCTCACTGATGACGTCCCATTATAGAGGTACACTAATGGTGCTCCAAAAGGCAACATATTGACTTTCCAACTATGGCTGAAATATCTCTGATAAAGTGTTTCCCATAATGACAGTGTTGTAGTTGTGTTGTTGTTGTGTTGTTATTGTTAACATAAAAAAAAACTACAACTTTTCAGTTTTTGGTAATTGAAATACCAGCTGTAATAAAATAAAATATAAATATACGAAAAACTTTATTCTTAAAATGAATTAGAAATGTTGCCTTGGCAACTAACTGAAATAACTAAAAGTACTAAATGTGCTAAAATCTCCAAAATTAAAAATACAAATAAAACCTATATAAGAATTTTTTTTTAATAAAAATGACAAAAACATGTTAAAAAATTTAAACGAACTAAAATTGAAATATGAAAATATAAAAATTAAAGCTAATTCAAAATATTAATAAATACTATAATAGTATATAAAAAATACTAAAATAACACTGCATGATGAACCTTACATGTTTTGTGAGGTAGGTTTTCAGTTTTTATGTACACTGCGTATGTTCTGACATTATTTGTTCTATTGAACAGATGGAATCGCTCCTGCCTGTGAACCTTCTACCAGTGTGCAGCATCTGTTCTCTACATTACACTAGATCAGGGATCCACATGGGACTGTTTTGCTGCTCTCACTTTTCATTCCCTTCCTCTTACTTTGTTTCTTCTCTTCCTATACTCTCTTTTTTGCTCTATTTTTTACTCTATCAATATTAAAAGCATTACAATGCTTTTAATATTTTTTTTCCTGGGATTCTTTGATAAATAGAAAGTTTAAAAAGAACAGCATTTATATTAGAAATATTTTGTAACATTATAAATATCTTTAGTGCCACTTTTGATCTATTTAAATATTGTGTGTCTGTGTGTGTGTGTGTGCAGGGGCGGACTTACCCATTAGGCAAAGGTAGGCAAAAAAAGCCAAGGGCCCCCTAAAATGCTTTTCATATGCGCATTAAGCGCTGACACGCGAACGTTTGCCGTTTACGGTGTTTATTACCATGACAACCATCCGAATCAGTGGCGCCTGCAGGTGTACAGCTGTACGCACTGTGAGTACCATGAGCACTCAGACTGATCTGAGAGTTGCCCCGCAAACATTTCAGCAGTTATTATAGGCCTGTGTGTACCATATTTCTGTCGACTGAACCCATGCCGTTAAATATGAATTTATCAGTCTTTTGCATGCCAAAGTCAATTTCTGCATAGAAATATTATGCGAAATAGAAGCAGAAAATTGTGCTATACATGAGATCGGGTTCGCCTACAATTAATTTGTTGGCTATTTTACAAATGGGAATACAACGAATCCATGACAATGTTTATATTCAAGCTACCCGTAAAATTTATAGTGAAAAGTACTTTAAAAGAGTCTGGAATGCAATGAAGTAATTTTAAAGCTGTTTTTTAAAGCATTTGCTGCATGGATAAAAAAATATAAATAATTAACATATCATACAAAATTGCATTGCAGCAAATCCTTTACATTTTAAGGTATTCAGAACAGAGCAAAATACAAATCAGAAAAGGCAGCTATACAAAGTTTTACATATATGCCATTATAATTAGTGTTTTATTTTTTAACTGTACGGAATTATAAAATAAAACGCAAATTATAATCGAGCATTCCATCAATTTATAGTGATGAAAAAATGACTCGCCATCTCCTAATTGGATGTGCCTTTAGAGAGAAATGCATGGATTACATAATGAAAGAGTTTATTTTATTAGGAGTCTATTTTTGATTTGAATTATTTCGTTTTAAAGTAGTAATTTAAAGCTTTCTATATATTTTGATCATGTCTGAGTTTAGGTTTATAATTGTGAAGCGCTCCTGTTCAAGACCGAGACAGCAGAAAGCATTTGTTTTCTTTATTTTATAAAAGCACAATGTTTTGTTGATATTGTGAGTGCACACAAATAAAACTAGACCCTTTA